GAAGCTATGGTAAGTAGAAAACAAATTTATTTGAGAACATGGGGAAGGAGACAGCAAAACAGCTTTCTGCACATGGTTGTGTTTCTTGAACAAACACGTTTAAAGCTAAGAAGAAGAAGAGAGGATAATGAGGGCAGCAGGGTGTGTAAGTAAAGTATTTATATGCATGTATCAAAATACCACAATGGAATTCACTATACTGGAGAATTCCTACATGTTTTAACAGAGGCAGTACCCCAGTGGAGTGTTGACTCTGTAGTACCATAGACCCTCCCTATTAGTTTCCTTTTGAGGCTTCAGAATTTAACTATGCTCTAAAGTGAGTAGAAAATCCCGGAAACAACCTCCCCGCCCCTCCCCCTGCCAAAAGAAAAAAAAAAAAAAAAAAGGCAGAGAGAAAATATCTAGCATGAACTGTTACAAGCAGCTTCCCACCAGCCTGTTCCCAAAGCCGCATTAGTCCCAAAAATAACACACAGAGATGCTATATTAATTATGGATCTATTGGCCAGTTACTAGCATTTCTTATTGGCTAGCTCTGTCTTAAATATTAACTCATTTCTATCAATTAAAGTGTTTCCACGTGGTCTTCTCTACCAGAGAGAGGGTTTGGACCTCTTCTCTCACATCCTACATCTTGACTCCTCTACTACCTCTCCCAGATTCCTCCTTGTCCCCTAGTCCCATCTATCTTGCTTTCCTATTGGCCAACAGGGCTTTATTCATTAACCAATAAGAGAAACATATTTACAGAATGACATGACCAATCAATGTACTACTTAAGAATTTATTCTCTCCAGGCAGTGAGCACACCTTAAACCTAGTCCATGGGAGGCAGAGACAGGAGGATCTCTGTGAGTCCAAGGCCAGCCTGGTCTACAAAGTGAGTTCCAGGACAGCCAGGGCTGCTACACAGAGAAACCCTGTCTCAAAAAAGGAGGAGGAGAAGGAGGAGGAGAAGGAGAAGGAGAAGGAGAAGGAGAAGGAGAAGGAGAAGGAGAAGGAGAAGGAGAAGGAGAAGGAGAAGGAGAAGGAGAAGGAGAAGGAGAAGGAGAAGGAGAAGAAGAAGAAGAAGAAGAAGAAGAAGAAGAAGAAGAAGAAGAAGGAGAAGGAGAAGGAGAAAAGAATTGCTTTTCTCACCATTGAGGGGTAAAAGGAACCTCAACACTCAAGAGACACTAGAAAATGCTTCAACGTTCTGGTCAAAAACAGTCAATTTAGAAATAATGTGTAAAGCTTATGAGCAATATTTTAAAAATATACTATTTCTAAGTAAGTTTGCTGTAGCCCCAGTCAACAGAACATTAGGATTCTAATTCTCCAAGTATCTCATTAATCAATACTTATAAAGAGTATATTTTTGTATTTTACAATTGAGAATAAAATTAGAAACAAAATAACAGAAAAGGTCATATCTGATTAGATGAATATATAGGATCTCTAAAATTCTATTTGTCTAAAACCTAAAAGTTGCTGATAGTTTCTAAGGAGTTTCTCTGATAAGTTAGACTGGGATGCTGCTGAAATCTGCCTAGTGTATGGATCAAGTACTGCTTGGTCACCACCCAGCATTGGCTGAAGTTTTCCCCAGGGCCATTGTGGAGGTTCTCATGACTATGTTCAAGGTTAGCTTCCTATCAGGAATCCACAGAAACAGACTCTCTCCTCATTGATGTGGTCTCTTTAATAGACTCATGACTTTTCTTTCCTAAGAATGTTGGCTTCCAGGGAGCCACAGTGGGTTCTACCTTAAGAGCATGCTGATTCCAATAGGATTTCTTACAGACTATATATTCACCTCAAAGTGACTGGCCCTTGTCTCCTGAGTTTTAACATGGAGGTCATAAAGATGCAACTAATATGTACTAAGGAGCAGAATTTTGTTCAGATATTTATTATTTTATATTCCTGTAATCAATATTTTATTTATTTTGTTCCTTTGAGACAGGATCTCTCTACTTAGCTCTAGCTGTCCTGGAACTCACCATGTGGACCAGGCTGGTCTTGAAATTACAGAGATCCATCAACCTCTGCCTCTCTAGTGCTGATATTAAACATTTGTGAGACCATATCTGGCTGAATATTTTAATTCTTGAGGTAAAGTAACTAGGATAAATTGATACTAAATTTTAAAAACAAAAAGATGATATAGTTCAAATAATGATTGTGTATTTTCAAGAGCATACATATCTGGTGGTAAAATGTTCCAAAAGTCCCAGAGGTAGAGACACTCAGGGAAAATATTCTTTTATTAGAAATTTCAAATTTTTAGTAGCAAAGAGAAGAGGGATAATGGTGCCAAGAGGTTGACTGTTATAACCTGAAGTGGGAAAATGCATGTGGTGTATATTGTAAACCATGTAAAGGATTCTTCCAAATGACATCTTACAGGTATATGCTAGACACAGTTGATGAATGAGGGGAAAAAAATCAGACCAGGAACTCTTGTCAAGTCGACATGAGGACTGTATGCTGTGCACATAGGCAGTAAATGCTGACAGGAAAGATGAACTAGTCAAGAGGCCCAAAAGTCAGGTTTTTAAGAATAATCTAAACCATCATAATCAAAACCTTCAAGAGACTGCTCAACCTGCAACTTTCATTCCAAGTCCAAAGCCACAGGCAATGAATGCTTCTTAAAAGTTACATAATTAACACAGCTCTAAGCTGAAGGTCAAAGTCCATGGAAATTATTCTTTATCTCCTACTCGGGGTTACAAGGATGCTGAGCTCACTGTCACTAAGGTACAAGGGCAGCATAAGCCATACTTCTGTTAGCAACATAAACAACATAGGAAAACACATTTGAATACTCCATGTGAGCTCAAAACTGGGACCTTGCTAATTTGACTTGGCTCGTGGAAACTTCATGATTCTGCATAATGACATAAGCAGAATAACTGGTTTGGATGGAAATACAATAATGTATCACTTAGCACATGTGTGATGCTGTCTGAAGAGTGATGGCTGCTTTATTCTGTGCTAAGCTAACTAAACTAAACCAGTTTTAATTCCCATAGTTTCATTTCTCCCTCCTCAGAATTCTCCTAGCTAACTCACTGATCTGAGTGAGGCTCAGATTTAAGCCAAAGACAGGATATAATTTCTTTGAAAGAATCCTACCCTCTAGCTATGCAACTAGAGCTGCCTGCATTGGGCTCAGAAACACTCATCAATACATGGGTGCTTAGTAGGTATGCAGGCTGTTGGGGCAACTGAAAAACTTCTCCAACAAATACATTTACCTTGTAAAAAACCCAAATTGGCCTAGGGGTGTACTTCAGTTGCTCATGTTTGCCTCACATTCATGCCATAAACTAGGCACATCTTCCTCATAGCCAGCTGTGGTAGTACAAAAATTGTGATCCTAACTTCAAAGGATGGGGTAGCACCATATAGAAATGGTGGCAAGTTTTCTTTCTATAACCTTCCTGCCACATGAGCTGTAATGACAGACAAATTTAATCCAAAGAAAAAACACTCTGGTAATAGCAAACTAGAAGGAAGGAAGGAAGGAAGGAAGGAAGTGTGTGTAAATGAAGACAGAACAATGGTTTTTTTTTTTTTTTAACTTCAGATAAAGATTAAAGAAGAGGCTGAGATAGTAGTACTGGCCTTTAATTCTAGCCCCCAGGCTGGGAGAGATGGATCTCTCTAAGTTAGAGGCCAGACTGCTTTATATAGCAAGTTCCAGGCCTGCCACCAGGGTTACACAGTGAGACCCAGTCTCAAAAAAAAAAAAAAAAAAAAAAAAAAAAGGATTAATGAATGAAGAGATAGATAATTCACCTGCATTTGTATTTTCTAAGGCCTTTTGACAAAGATACAATTAAGAATTTATGAGCATTTTTATAGTATATTCTTCAGACTGATGTCTTATTTAGATGATAATTTGGTTTAAAATGCTTTCACTTGTCTAAAAAAGACTGGAACTAAAACATTCAATAGGCTAGAATTAGAATAAGTTTTCAGCTAGAACATATTAACTTTAAAACACTTTTATCTTTTAAATCCTTTGAGAATGTTGTACAATTTATTTGGATCATATTCAACCTTCCCACCCTACTGCGTTACTCTGTTTCTTCTTCCTTTTTTTTTTTTTTTTTTTTTAAAGCAAGTCCAATTTGTGTTGCTCAAATATTCTTGAGTATAAGCCTGCCCTGGAGTGTGATCCACATACCAGGAATCACACCCCAACAGCTATCAAATGCCAATAGCTTCTCAGGTAAAATGTGACTTGATACCCACTTTAGCACTCTGGGGTCCTTTATGGGATTGAAGCTCATGCAGGTTATTGTGAATGCTGTCACAATGGCTATGAGCTCACATGTGCATTTATCCTTCTGTGCCTGGAAAGCACTGGTTTCCTAAACTGCTTATAGTTCTACAATCTTTCTGCTCCCTCTTCTGCAATGATCCCTGAGCCATGCATGGCAGAGTGGAGTGTGAGCTGTCCCATTTAGGACTGAGCATTCCAGTCTCTAAGTCTCTGCATGCTAACCAGTTTTGGGTTTTGTATTGCCATCTACTGCAAGAAGCTCCCCTGATGAATGTTGAGGGAAACACTAATCTATGACATAATAATAAACCGCCAGTAGGTTATCCTCTAGGGTCCATGACCTATCTGGCCACAGGTTGTTGAACCAGACAACAATGCCAGGTATGGATTCCATCTCATGGATCAGGCCTTAAATCAAACCAGAAAGTAGTTGGTTCTTCTCATAACATCCATGGGCACATCCTAATGGGATAGTCATTATTGTAGCTCCCTGGGGTCACAGCTAGTTAAGAATGATGATTGTTTTCCTCCCAGAAGCATGCATAGCACCTTCTGACACTATGAAAGCTAGTGAGAAACGATGGAGCTTCCACGTCCATACTGCTTGGTTTATCCATACATAAAACAACTTTAAAATTAACATACAAAATGATTATCTAAGGATTGTTATATTATTATTCATGTCATACTTTATAAAGTACTAAAATGATAAAAATTTAAACATTCTTAATTTGCTTGTAGCATTATGTGAAAGATATTTAATATACATACTTAAAAGTTTTATAAAAATATTTGCCCATAAGGCAATACAGCAAATAAAGTTTTGGGTATACAGTAATATAAATTTAAGAAAACAACTTGAATGCACTGCATACATTCTCAGTTAAAATAATTTAGTTAAATTTTATATGAATTAGTTCAAATTAGTATTTTAGAATTACTGTCTGGAATTGGAGGACTACTATGACACCTCTCAGAGGTATGTCCAAATTATTCACACAGGATTGTGATGAGTTTTGCTACTACATGCACATTGAGGCTGTTGCCAAGGAGACGGTAACGCTGCTTCACAGTTATCTTCTCAGGAAATCCTAGAAAACAGAGGTGGTGTTTACAGTACAGTCACTCACAATCTTAATTTCCAGAAATAGAAGATACATTTAGTAAAGGCACAATGGTCATTTTATAAATACATTCACATATTCTTGGTAGTGTCATGGTCAATGAAGGCCCTATGCATATTGGAGCACCTATGCAATGTATTACCTTGTGACATTGTAGTTGTGTTTGTGTAAGCATACTCTATGATGCTCACACATGAAATTGCCTAAGGACACAATACTCAGAAAGTATACTAATAGTTAAAGACAAAAAAATGGTAAATTGCCAATATGACCATAAAGTTTCACAAATAAATAATTTGGAGGCCCGAATACTGTGTAACATCATGCTATAATGTCACATAATATTGGAGTATGTTTAATGCAAACACACTCAGAGTTCACAGAAATATATGATATTACACTTTGGAAAAATGGTTGCTACTATTTTTCTTGGCAGATTTATTTATTTAATAACACGTTCCTTACATACCATGAAATTTACCCTTTTAAAATATATAATTCATGAATTTTAGGATAGAGTTCTCAAACATCTTCATTTTCATTACTTCAAAATAAAAAACCCTTACACCCATCAGCTGTTGTCACTCCCTGTTCCTTGTCTTTGTCCATTCCCACTCTCTAGTTTTTGATGCTACTACAGATTTGGCTATTCTAATTAAATTATTATATTATTGTTCCATGTGTAGGTACATGGAATCAAGGGATATGTTTTATGTATGTCTTTTTACAGTTATATTTTTAAGGTTCATTCACATCATAGCAAATGCCAGTACTTACTTTTTATTACTTAGTAATATTTTAATGGATAAGACAAACTTTATTTATTCATTCATTCACTGGAAAACATTTGAGTTGTTTCTACTTTGGGATATAATATATAATATTATATACATATTATGGAAATTTTTTCTAGGATATGTATCTAGGCAAAATTGCTGAGTTATATATTAGTTTAATGCATGCAGAGATGTTAGCAATGTTTCACTTCACTCTGGTAGATAGAAGAAATATTTCCCTGTGGTTTTACTTACATTTCTCTAATTGATGGGGGTTGTCCTTCTGTATATGTATTTCTATTTTTAGTTAATGAATAAAACACTGTTCTGCCAATGATGCAGGAGATAGGAGGAACTAGGAGACAAGAAGAATTCTGGGAAAGGTAGGCAGAGAGGGCCTGCCATACAGTTGTCATGTAGGCTGCCAAAGGAGTAACAGCTTCAGACTTTTCTCTGGTAAGATAAGACCACGTGGAAATACTTAGAGTAATAGAAATGGGTTAATAATTAAGTCAGAGCTAGCCAATAAGAAGCCCTAGTCATTGGCCAACAGGTTTAAAATTAATAAAGCATATGAGTGTTTATTTGGGGTTTAAGAGCCACAGGACCAGCCTGTAATAGTCAGAACCTGGAAGCAACCTAGATGTCCTTCAACCAAAGAACGGATAAAGAAAATGGTACATTTACACAATGGAGTAATAGAGTACTACTCAGAAAAAAAAAAAAGACATCTTGAAATGAAATTTTCAGGCAAATAGATGGAACTAGAAATGAGGTAACCCAAACACAAAAAGAAAAATATGATATGTACTCATTCATAAGTGGATATTAGACATAGAGCAAAGGATAACCAGCCTACAATCCACAGCCCCAGAGAAGCTAGGAAGCAAGGACCCTAAGAGAGACATACATGGACCCCAGAGAAAGGGAAAGGGATAAAAATCTCCTGAGTAAATCGTGAGCATGGGAGGGAGGAGAAAGAGGAGAAGAGAAGGGTGGAGAGGAGAATATGAGGGATCAGGAAGGTTCAGTTGTGGGAAAGAACAGAGAAGCAGAACAATGAATGAGATACCTTAATAAAGGGAGCCATTGTGGGCTTAACAAGAAATCTGGCACTAGAAAAATCTCAAGGGATCCACAAGGATGACCCCAACTAAGGATCTAAGCAATAGTGGAGAGGGTACCTTAAATGCCCTTCCCTGATAATGATATTTATGACTACTATAAATGCCATTATAAAGCTGATGGAAGTAGAAGCAGAGATTCACAACTAAGCACTGAGCTGAACTCCTGGAATCCAGTTGTAGAGAGGGAGGAGTGATAAGCAAAGGGTCAAGACCATGCTGGGTAAACCAACAAAAACAGCTGACTTGAGCACGTGGGAGCTCATAGAACTCAGTCTGACAGCTGGGGAAACCTGCATAAGACTAAACTAGGCCCCTTGAAAATGGGTGTCAGTTGCGGGCCTGGGCAGTTTATGGGGCCTCTGGTAGTGGAACTAGTATTTATCCCTAGTGCACAAATGGACTTTGGGAGCCTGTTCCCTATAGAGGGATACTCTCTCAGCCTGATACAGGGGGACAGGCCTAGGTCCTGCCCCAAATGATGTGACAGACTTTGATGATCTCCCATGAGAGGCCCCATTCTCCCTGAGGAGTGGATAGGGGGTTGGGGGGAGAATGGAAGAATGGAACAAAGAGGGAACTTGAGTTGGTATGTAAATTGTTTTTAATTTAAATAAAAATTAATTTTAAAAAAGAAGAGTATAATATCATATATTTGTAGTGAAGGACCATTATGTAAAGTAGCTTCACCAATACTAGACTCTATATTAAATGTAATAAGATAACAATAATTACTACAATAAAGCTGTCATCTGCAATTAAGCATGATTGTAAAGCTTATATCCTACAGATAGTGAGGCACAGGTAAGCACATTACTGATCTCAAAGATTAGATCAAAATACCAGAGATACAAATGTGTTTACAAATAACCTTTTACACTATCCCAGGGGATGATCCTTTGCAATATTAAGACTACACTAAAAGGAAGGATGAGTTTAGAAACAGAATTCTATTTTATACAGATTAATTAAAGTCTAAACTAAGAGATGGGAAAATTATAGTTTCTAAGTTAAATGGTAATTTTTAAAAAGCATAGATATATTAAAGTAATGACAGTCTTCAGAAACAAAACCACATATACTGCACAAGGTCAAGATAGTTGCTTTCTCTCAGTAAAGGTTGTGTCTGTCTTCTAAAGCCAGCTAGTCACAAACATGCTAGTTGTCAGTCACAAGATACCAGGACAAAATAGACAGAAAGATCGATATGAATCCATCATTGCCAGGGGGCAAATGGCTCACACCATGTCCAGTTTTGTATCCACAGCCAATGTTGGAAGCATACATGAAGGACAGCTCTGTTGTGTTTTATGGTAGCATCTGGACAAGATTGTCATCACAAGCATATCATATATTTTAAAAGAGCATTCAGCAATTTAAAATATGTATCAATAACAAGAAATAGGCCATGAATTTGAGAAAGAACAAGAAGGGGACACATGGGGGATTGGGGTATGAAAGGGAAGGGAAAAATGATGTGATTATATTTTAATCTAAAAAGTGTTAAAAATTAAATTGAATAAAAATTGAAACTCTTCATATGTATTTATACACATATATATATATATTTGAAAAACATCAAGAAATTCTATTGTATTCACCTCAAATTTCAAAAAAGAAAAAATATTGATGAAATTTACAAAATAAAAAGTACCCATCTCTAGGGTCTACCAAGATGGCTCAATAGTATTACCTAAAGACATGAGTTCATAAGACCCATAAGAACCAACTCCTGCAAGGTATACTATACATACACAAATACACAAGCAAAGAAATAAATGAAATATTTAAAAATTATATAACTTAAAAATTAAAATCAATATAATTTTCCTACGACATCATATATGCATTTAAACACACTAACTCAGTCAACTGCCATAAAACATCATAAAGTAGATGTTATAATTATCTACATTTTACAAACAAGTAAACTAAAAGAGAAAAGTTAATCTAAGGTAGAACAGGTGAACAAAGATTCCAAATTGGTCTGACTCTGGCCCTCCAAATCCTTTCTTTCCCAAGTTTGAATATTACCATGGTGGCCACACCTCTAGAGTGTACTGAGATTTAGGAACTCATTGATTAGACAATCAATAGTCTTTCTTTTAAGAAGTGTGCAGAGTACATCTGTTTGTTCAAAATATAAAGAGAATATTAACTAGAAAAGCAAATTGGCAGCCAGAATTGAGTCCAACCCTCATCTCCTACAATTTTCTCACTTTATGACATATACTAAGACGAGAAAAGTCTGCCTTTATTTAGTAATGATCTCTAAAACTTTGAGGATCAAATGAGATGACCAAAAAAGGGGAAAAATAAGAAAATAATAATTTTTTCATTCTTAAAAAAACAATATAATTACAGCATTTTGCCTTCCCTTTCCTCCCATCTATCTATCCTATGCCACCGCCCCTCCTCCCTCTCAAAATTATGGTCTCTTTTTCAGTTGGTATTGTTACACACACACACACACACCTAAATTTGTAAATACAAACTGCAACAATGATAAACTTTTAAAAGATAGGGAGGGGAAAATCAGTCTGGTAGCTGTGATTATGCTCACAGAAGCAAATTCTGAGAGCAGTTAAGTGGTATGGTCGGCTTGTTGTCAGTGGACAAGGGGCCTGGGTTCCAAGACCTCATCTGTAAGTTCACCACTTAGAATCTGAAACCCAATGTCTTTCGCTCATTATTCACCTCACAAACATGCACCAATATTAACTTTACTGGACTTAATAAAGTCTCCCTTCTATATTCAAATCCTCAAGCAGAGTTCTCAGAGGCAGATTTCCTCCTCCTCAGCCCTGGAGGCATGCTGGGTAGCTCTAGTTTTTCCTTTGGTTGTTATGGGGAGCACTCTGAGCCCCTGTGTAAGAAAACATGGATCTCTTGGAGCTGAGAGTGCTGGTAACAACAGATCAGGGCAGGGCTTGGGGCCACTGTAAGCACACAGGGCAGTTTCCAGGCTTCATGGCACTAATCTCTGGATTTCCAGCACAAAGGTGGAGTTAGGACTTTGTCTTCCCTCTATCTTTGCTTTTGTTTGTGCATTCCCCTGCTGTAGATCCCCTAAAGCTCTTAAGTGCCCCTTACATTCCTTATAGTAGAGAACAAAGGCAAATAAGTGATAATGTATCTTTGCTCAAGTGAAAAAATAACCACAAATACAAACCCTGTCCAACAGCTGGTTAACTTAACTAGCCTTTACTTTCTTATTGTGAAAATGCCAGTGGAGCCTAGCTGAGCCTGCTGGTACAGCCTATAATCCCAGCTACTGAGGGGGCTGAGGCAGGAGGATCATGAGTTTTGAGGACCATTTGGGGTTTTAAAAAGCAGGCCTGGTCAACTTAAAAAGAGCCTGTCTCATAAAAATAAATGCAAGTCTCCCAGAGCACATGGGAAGTGGTGGTGGTGGTGGGGCAGTGAATGGAGAGAGAAGTAGAAGAAAGGGAAGGAGAGGAAAGCATTGCGACTGGGAAGACTGAAGATTGAGTCAGGGTAGGAATATAAGACATGAGAGAGAGAGAGAGAGAGACAGAGAGAGAGACAGAGAGAGACAGAGAGAGAGACAGAGAGAGAGAGAGAGCAAACATAAAAGAGGGAACCATTGTTAGTTTAAAGAGAAAACTGAACCTAAAGAAAGGTCTAGAGACCTACAAGACTGCCGCCAACTAACAATCTGAGCAACTGTGGAAAGGCTACCATAAATGCCCTTCCCGGAGAGTGAGATCAACAACCAACTTATCCACCATCAGGGAGCCCTCATCTAGTACCTGTTGGAAACAGAAGCAAACACCCATACCTAAACACTGAGTCGAACTATAATCCAGATGCAGAGGGAGAGGACAAGACCAGGTTGCAGAAACACATAGAGACAGCTGACCTGAACAAGGAGGAGCTAACGGGCCCCTAGACTGATAGCTGGGAAGCCAGCATGGGACTGACTCAGGTTCCCCTGAATATGGGTCTCAGCCAGAAGGACTGAGCAGTCTAAGGGACCTCAGACAGTGGAACCAGGATGTATTCCTGGTGCACAAATGGACCTTGTGAACACATCCCCCATGGAGGGATACTGCCTTAACATACTGCCTAGTCCCTACTTCAAATTATCTGACAGATCTACATAACCCCACCTGGATGGCATTGCCCTATATGTGGAATTGGGGTGGGGGGATGGGATGGGAGGGTGGTCAGGGTGCATGTGAGGGGACAGAGAGGGTAAGAGGGAGGGAGAGAGAGAGAGGAGACTGGGATCAACATGTAAAATAATAAAATAAATAAAAAAAATAAATAAATGCAAAAGAAAGGGCACAGAAATGTAGTTTGGTGTAGCATACTTAAGGCCCCGAGTTAATAAAAATAACAAGAACATAAGTCAATTGAAGGGATTTCCCACCCCATCCCACCCCAATCTCGTTGGAATTATCAAGTTCAGACCTATGGAAACAAAGATGTAAATAGAAAGGGGATTCTACCCACTGCCTGAGGGAATTAGTAACCACCATTTTGCACCTCAGCCTGAGTGGACTGACTCACTACTGGACTTAAAGGAAAAACAGGGAGGGAACTTACTGAAACATGAATTAAGTGATGACAAGTAAGGAAAATGCCAAAGCTATCACAGCAGAAAGGAGGGAGGATTCATTCATAAAATACACAGATGAGTTCCTAATAAAATGCTGAGAGCTTTAATAAAGAAAGGGAAGAAAGCTGTGATCTACATGGATTCCACATACCGAATTCTGGAGGAAATCCCTGGAGATTGGCAATTTCTCTAGGTGTGAAATATCGCAGTTTAAGTGTTGACAACTTAGCAATCTTTTCTTCTGGAGGCAACTCATTAAGAGATTTGAAGACATTCTCAATCTGTTAAAATCCATGAGATGTTAAAAAATACTCTAGGACCAAACTTAGCATTAAGAGCAGTGAACAAGCAATCTGCTGGGACACATGGTAGCGGAATGTATAAGTGTACACCTCTATGCAACAGCTGTATAAATGGCTCAATAATAGCAACAGACATGGAAAAAGAAATGGCTCACATTAAACAGATCAGGAAACTAAGCCACATTAGTAAATATATAAATTAGAAAATTATAAAAACATATAGGAAACTGAGTCAACTAACAAAAGAAATTTCATAATGCTAACAAGAAAATCAGTAAGTAAAAGAATAACCTCACAGAAAAGAAATTGTGTGTGTGTGTGTGTGTGTGTGTGTGTATTAGCAACAAGCACAGTCTCTCTCAGTTGAACATTTAAGATTATTTTAATGTTCTTAAATTAAATATTAAAAGTAATGTTATTAAATGGAAAGTTTTAGTTTAAAAACATACATGGTACCTGCACATCCTCTGCGGTCTGTAACACTGAGCCTGTCCCTTCAATGTAGCTTCCATACCTGAAAAATGGACATGAATAATACATAACACCTGATGTATTTTAATGCCAAATATTTCTCTCTCTCCTGTGTGTGTGTGTGTGTGTGTGTGTGTGTGTTTGTGTGTGAGTCTGTGTGACTGCTTATGTATACATAGATGTGCATGTTCATGCATGTGTCTGAAGGTCCTAGGACACCTCTGGGTATCATGCAAAGTCCAGTGTTTGGAGACAGGATCTTCTGCTGGTATCAAACACACTAAATAGGTTAAGATGACCAGCCAGTGAGGCCTAGGGATCTGCTGGTCTCACTTCCTCAGAGCTGAGATTGTAGGCACATACCACCATGCCTAGCTATATTTGACATGTGTTCTGGGGTTCTAATGGTTCTAATGCTGGCCTTTGTGGCTATTAAAGACACTGTACTGACCCAAGAATCCACTTAGACCTTTTTCTAAAAAATATTTTAAGTGACAAAATATTTCTTGAATGACATACATTTATATTCTTCTGAAACAACTTTAATAGTATCACATAAATATACTTTGTAATTTAAAATAAGACAAAAGACATAATTCTATTTAAACTTCTCAGAAACTAAATGTGGCAGTTGAGCTATATAAACACCACTGAATGATGTATTAGCATTTTTGTATTAATTGTCATATATGCAATGTTACCTGTTAGAAAGTATACACTATTATTACAAAGGTCCCTGCCTCATTAAACCAAATGCACAGATGAAAACGTATTGCTATTATTTTTATAATGCCTGAATTATAAGTTGTCTCAGCATCAAAAATATCCAGCTCCCTAATACCACACAGACATGGTTCACTGACCCTGAGTTTAACTCTCACTAGTTCAGTATCCTTTTACTATCGTTTTCATTTAAGAATTAGTTTTAATCCAGATGGAGAGAGGGAGGACAAGACCAGGCTATATAAACCCACAGAGACAGCTGACCTGAACAAGGATGAGCTAATGGGTCCCAAACTGAGAGCTGGGAATCCAGCATTGGACCAAATCAGAACCCCTGGACATGGGTCTCAGTTACATGGCCTGGACAATCTAAGGGACCTCTGACAGTGAAACGAGGAAGTATCCCTGGTGCACAAAAAGGACTTTGGGAGCACATTCTCCATGGAGGGATACTCCCTTAGCCTAGAGGCAGGAGGGAGGACCTAGTCCTTACTCCAAATGAATTGACAGATTTTGATGACCCCTCCTGGAAGGCATCACCCTATGTGGAGTAGGGATAGGGGATGGGATGGGAGGGTGGTCAGGGGCAGGGAAGGGTGGGAGGGAGGGAAAACTAGGATCGATATGTAAGATAAAAATAAATAAATTAAAAATAAAAAAGAATTAGTTTTAAAATTGTATAAGAAATATAAAATATTTCAGAAATGAAAGGTAGAGTATTATTTTTCTGATGTTGCTAAGCTGTCTTTCCATCACATGAACACTCCCTTTTCACAGTAAGGACAATTTAAACTATAGACTAGAAAAGTACACCAAGGGAAAATAACTGTTTCACACTGCCTTTTCATATGTACTACACAGTTAAACATGTGTGTGCCATCTTCAGCAGAAGAGACTGCCACAGTAAGGCTTCTTTATGTCATCATTATTACAAAGGAGTATCAAGGTTGCTTTTTATTACTATTTTATGAGAGTCCTAAAAAGAATCTATTGGACTTGATAACAGACAACAGCTGAGTAGAGTCTTTTAAAGTAATAAATCCTTTCTCTTAGAGGCATGGGGCACATCATAAAATCAACCTGAGTCTACATAGCTGTAGGAAAACAGTTCCTTTTCCACATACTAAAAACTAGCAGGCAAAAAGACAGTTTGAACTGTCACATCACACAACTGCCTACCCAACAAATGAAGTTGAGGGGCATGTGTAAAATAGAGACAGCATCTTTAGGTTTTTTTTTTTCTAAAAAGCCTAATTTCCTCATTATTCTGTTTGTTCTTTTAATTGTCAAAATTTGTCATAAGTCAAGGAACAACCCAAAGCAAAACAAAAAATTTTCAACTATAGGTAACAAATAAAACCAAATAAAACAAATTATGATCCTCTTTTACCACAAACATAAAATATATTTTTACATTACCAAGACAATAATATCCAAAAAAGATTAGGAGTGATTGATTCATCTGTGTTCTCTTACGAAGAGCCCTCCAGATGTGCCTACTGACTGTTTCTGCCCCTGTGGGGGTGGGAGGGTCACAGACTTCACCTGCCCATGCACTGTTCCTTATAGCTTGTTCTGTGCAACTCTGCCTTCACTGCACACGGCACTGGGGAAACTACAGTACATAGGCCAGGGAAGGCTAGATACTGGACCCTCCATCTGTGAGATACAGGCAGGCCATCATCCCAACTGGGTAAAGACTTTCCAGGTATAGCGTGCTGGGGCTCAGGAGTACCCACACCCCTCTATGTAACCCCTCACCCATGCTCTGAAAGGAAATCCAAATGACTCACTGGTTCTCAAGAGTAAACTTTGGTGGAATCAAGTCACAGTTTGTGGCTGTGACATTAGGAGTATGGGCACTGTTGACATGGTAAAAAAAAAAAAAAAAAAAAAAAAAAAAAAAAAAGTTCTTTTATGTTCATCTCAAGAAGCAATCACCTTTGGAAGGCAGAACAGTACATTGATACCACAGGCTCGTAACAAAAGACACTAGATGGCCATGAGACAGATGTAGTAGGAGTTTTATAATCTTAGTAACTTTTGAATTTTGTAACATGAGAATATATTTAAAGGCTCATTTAAGTTTTAAATTGTAACTGGATGATTCGATTTTATTTCTTTAAACTAAAATATAATTTCTTTTGATATACTGATAGACCTCACTAGGTTTGAGGTGTCTTACAGAAAGAAAGGTGGTAAAATTACCAATTCACAAACTACAGAAATCATGTTAAGACAAGTAACTAAGCTGTACAAAGGTCCTTCACAAATGACTTTGTCTTCCATAAACACTTTCTGGGTGGTGCCCAGAATGTTCTGCATGAGGAATGTTCACTTGTGTTCTACTGGCAATTAGGAAAGAAGTCAGTCTAAAAGAAACATTTTATCAAACCCTTCTTGTTCTGAGAAAAACTAAAAGACAAGCTACAAAACATGATTTTTAGACACAAAATAGAGGGAATTGATTTCAAACTTACCCTTTGGTAAAGCACATGGACCTTCTGGAAGTGGGCTTAACAATATCTAGTAAAAGAGCATATCGAAGCAGTAACTTTGGTGGCAAAAAGTACTGATTTGTGTCCTCATCTTCAAGAAAATCTTTCAGCATCTGCACAGAGAGGTCGTTGTCCTGCTGGTGCTTCCTGTCAATTTCTTCTGCAGTTTCAAGCTTAAAAAGAATGGTATCTTTTCCGGAACACTGTGTGCTGCTGGTATCAAAGCAGGTGCTTGGTTCAGGTCTCTTCACTCTTAATATATTTTCTGCAACTACTGCATAGCTTTGCGGCTGTATAGTTGCAATTTTAGGAAATTCCAACAGTATCTGGCATTAAATTAAAAACAAATACAAACTGTCAAAAGTTTTATTTAATGATATGACAGACTTTGAAGACTCCCCAAAGGAAGTCCTCACCCTCCATGGGAAGCAGAAAGGGGATGGGATCGGGGTTGGTGGGGGAAACATGGGAGGATGGGAGAGTGCAGGAACTGGGAAGAACTGGGATTGACATGTACAACAAGCTTGTTTCAAATTTAAATTTAAAAAAATATCAAAAAAGTTTTATTTAAAATAAGAAATAAATCAATAGTGTCAACAGAACACATGGAAACCTTTTTAGCCTCTATAAGGTTGACATTAATTAAAAAGGCAGACATTGTGGTTTGCTTGTATTTTTATGAGTTATTGTCAGAAGTTATTAATCACACAGCTGCAGAGGACTTATTTCATGGAATTCCTGTTTGGAAGGCAAGCTTATTAGTGGGAAAGCTCACAAAATATAAACATAGAAGCACAACTGGAAAAGAAGTTTAAAAAGTAATGCTGGCATTGGAGAATGTGCACTGAACATTACCAAGCTCCTTCATTAAAAAGGAAATGCTGCAGCATCCTCAAGTGTAAAACAAAACTGCTTTTCACTCAGAGTACTTGGTCCCATGGGGAGGGGTGGGCAGTGGGGATGATTTGATTTGGGAAGTCATGATCTTGTATAAACTTCTATTTTAAAAATGAGAAAAATACTCAAGAAATTTTTGGTGATTAAGTCTTCCTTAATACACTTTTTGCATTGTTTCTGGAACTTTCCAGTACGAGAAAGACCACCTGTCATAGGAGTCAAGGCTGTAACTAGTTTTCACTAGCAGATTGCCTGGCTGTTGAGCTTTACAGGTGATGGCCATGCAGAGCAAAGTTCTTTGAGCCACTGAAACTCTGGTATCTTCTCTCATTTCTTATGAAAACACAAAATTATTCATCAAGAACCCCAACTTGGCAGTTGGGAATTTGTATAAGCAAATGATAATCATTACTACATTTTAGCCAATTAAGATAAGTAATATTGGCATCAGTGAAAGTATAATAAATATGTTTAAACAGGCCATTTTAAAGTCAGCACAAGAACAATTTAGCAGAATCAATGGCTTTAACTGGGAAGAGAAAATAACAAATATAAAAGTCAGTGGTCCTTGAAGTTATAGGGGAAAGAAGAATAATAATACAAATGATAATTTTTAATCTTACAAAGGTTTTTTTTTTTTTTAGTTTTAGTTTTATTTAGTTTAGCAAAAAAGTAAAGAGAGGAGAAAGATAAAAGCAAACACTAGAAGAAACAGAGGCCTGGCAATGGACATGAAGATGACCTGTATACTCTATAGGCACAGAAGCCCTAATAGTTACTGAGAAGAAACAGGCAGACTGAGACTCATTCACAAGTGAACAGTAGCAGCAGCAGCAACAACAACAACAAACCTGACCAGGGGCCTGAAAAGGTAAAGGCTCTGACTGAAGCTTTGCAATGAGAAAATATCGGAGCCTTGAGTTTGGAATACCAAGCTGCAAGCAAAACAGAAAAACAGAAAAAGGTTAGTTACCATATGAAATGGGGGGATTTGTAGCAACTTCAGCACTTAGCATAAAGAGGCAGACAGATATGAACCTCATGTCTGCCAGAGCAAATGCTGCTACTAATTTTTGGAAGACTTCTCTATAGAGGGATATAAGCCAGCTACATTGCTGCTCTGTGCCTTTCAATAAATGATGGTTATCCCAGCCAAGTCATGTATTTATGGGTCATAATTTACAATTAAGAAGAAATAAAGACATTTTGTATTTGTTATTGATAATATAATAGTAGTAAAGCATTAAATTCAAATATAGATATTCTTATCATTAATTTTACTTTTAAAGAGGATTTACCATACTCTAGAAGAGGCAATGATTTGAAATAAAGTTAAAAAAATCAGTTAGTTACACTGTCAGTTTTGACAACTTATATATTAAAAATTTCAACTAGATTTTCTTTTCATTTGTGGACAAAGAACTATATAATATAGTTAATGATGACAAGAAACTAAAAAGAACAATAGCAAATACAGCAACATTTACAAAATCAATCTTTCAAATAACAAGTGCTTTGATTTCTGACATAAAATGAAACCAGTGCTTGCAACCTAATGTCATGTAACAATAAGGAATTACAAATAATAGGTCCACTTTGCTTTCAGTCTTGGGTTACTTTAAGCATTGCTTCATACTAGGCACCTAATTCAGACATCTAAGACTCCATTCATTTTCAAAACTTGTAGTTCTTTATTTTCCAAAAGAAAAATGCATGAGATTTAATGAATCTATTTTATGTACAAGCAAATCAACAAGCATGCACCACATTCCTCAGAAAGTAAGAGCCATGTCTGGGCCAATTTAACACTTAGATGAAATATTAAAAATACATCTATTTTGTTTATAACATCAAATTCCCAGTGGGGGAAGCCCTTAAATGATCACTTATGTAAGGGTTTGTAATTGTGATACCTACGGAGGAAGGAGATAATAGAAACTCTTGATGCTGAAAGCCACAGGCTTCTATCGTTTGTATCAACAGCTCTCTGTAAAGAGAAAAGGAGTCAGAGAGAAAAGCTCCCAGCCCTTGCTGAGACATGGCATTCTTATATAACAACACACATAGCACTTCATCATCAAGAAAAACCCAACTTTACTCAAGCCACTTAGAGTCATTACTTGAGAAACTGCATTTTATTTTTTATTTATTTTTTCAATTTAGCAAATCTAATTTTTAATCTTCTATCATATATTACACCCTGACCACACTTTCCTTCCCCAAGTCTAAGACATATGCAAGACAAATGTATTTGTTTACCTTGTAGATGATACTTCAAAGCCTTTAACATTTTCTAAAAGAATATACTTGGGTAATTTTTGCAATCTAAAAATCAAAACAAACATAAATACAAATATTTCATTACCAAGATGTAAAAACAAAATCACAACTTGTGAAAAATGTGGGTTTAAGTAATTTTCTAGATTTTTTAAAAATAAATTTTAAGTCCTATTTTATTCATTTTCCCCAAGGCATGGTATACTTGAAAGCGTTTACAAGAGCTAACTTCCACTGAAGCACATCTCAACATCTGGCTTTCACAGGGCTTCCACACAGCACAGCTCAAGGGCTGTAGTTCAGCCACGGTGGCAGTGTTCACTAGCACTGGCAGCAACTGCATGACTAGAGTGAATGCGCAGAGGCAAGAAAACTTAGCTGGCTGCTGATGGTTTTGCCACTCACTACAGAGGAAAGCACGAAATTTTGAAAAATTTACTGTCATTTTATTAGCTGAGCTATGACAAAAGAAAGGTGCATGTAGCAACTGCTAATCTCTACAAAATGACAAATATTATACCCTTCCATACTCATATTTTCAAATTTAAGGTAACTTTACAAAAATCCACATTTTTACCTTGGGAGAATATCTAGAATATACAAGAAGCTATTAGTCCTTGGATCCGTCATATCCCCCTGTAAGCCAATTCTAAAAAAGCAAAGGAAACACAAAAAAGGTTTATCAAAAGTTTTATAAGATACCAAAAAGACTTACTTAACTAAGAGAACTTAAATAAGTTGATCTTCACCATAAGAAACAAAACAGAAAAGGAAGAAAAACAAGCTGGTCTGAACAGATGACACTGGCGATAACCACCATTTCAGCAGACTAGATAATAAGGGATACTGAGATAATCTTGTCCGGTGTAAACAGACCCTTGATCTCAGGGTTTAGACAACCAGCACATGGAATCTGGCAGCACTAGCAAACAAACCAGACAAAGTTCACAGCATGGCTAAGGTTCAAGCAGAAAGAAACACTTTGATGGTGTCTGAATAACAGGACCAGAAGGTCAGGCCTCCACTTAGATGCTCAGTAGCTTCATGGTCCTAAGCTGAGTGACATCTCTGTCAGTCTATCAGTGGGTCTGAGGCTTAAAAGCTGGGGATTAAAATGGTCTTAAACAGATTCCTCAGAAATCTTCAGTTTTTATATTCTGTTCTTTTCCACTGAGAGTTCAGATAACAACTATAGAATCAGTCCTGACATCAGCAGGGGGAATTAGTCTGACATACAGTGAAGACCGTAGGAGGTAAGGTCTTGGGCACACTGTAGCAGTACATACACTCAGGCTGAATTCTGCTCTCTGCACATTAGGACACACTCTCCCATATGCTTAAAGCCACCTTCATATGCAATGCCCTCTGCCTTCTCTGATAAACTCTCACACTGCTTTTCAGACACAGCTCTGATGGCAAGAATTCCTCTCTCTGGGCATGACGTGTGTAACTTTCTCCTCAGTGGCACTTTCACAACTCTGACAGTACCAAATGTCACAATTATATAACACTAATTTATGAGTCATTCCTTTCAATTATAAACTCCAAAGATCAGGAACTATAGTATCAAGCATACTGTATGGCATAAGGGCACAATAACCCTCAGGGAGATAAGCTTCCTCAAGTTCAAAGATGTTAAAATATAGCATAGGAATATTCATCTAAATTATTTGTTACATATAATACTTCAGCTAGTAATACTAATACAAACATAAATTATTAATAAATAATGGTTCTGATCTTTGTCTAACTGTATAGTCATGGGAAAGTTAACCTTTCTATGACTCAGTTTCTAATCTATAAAATAATAACAATAAGATTCTATTAATATGGCTACTTAAAATAATTTACTTTATTTAATAAAGAAAATTAACTTGGCTTAAGACACAATTCCTTGGAACATATTGTTAACAATTACTATATTAATCTAAAATGGGAAATTATAATGTGGCTATGAAAAAATCTGAATTATAATGTTAATTTTGAGAAATACACAATTTGTAAATGTATGCTAAACTTTCAATTTTTTACATAAGTTATTTACAAATGAAATATTTTTTAAGGAAATTCAGTTTCACTAATCAGAATCAGCTCTGAATGCTCAAAAGCTCAAGAGTTAAAAGCGATAAAAGCAATTTGAAACAAAATAAATGTACCTTAGGTATACCTATAACATCATTACACACTTAATGTTGATCAAATTATCTTGCTCTTCTGACTACATCTGTCAATTCCTATGCTCAATTATAAATATGAGTGAATGAAAGGTAAATTTACAAAGTATTTTAAAGCTATGAAAATCTTATGGTCTTCAAAGTTCTTTATTCTTCCCTTCTCCTTTCTTTCCTCTTTGTCTACCCTGCCTTTTATTTGTGGTGAACTGTGTATATGTGTGTATGTTGTAATTTGAACCCAGGGCCTCATGCATGCTAGGCAAGTATTTGCCACTGAGCTATACCCTCAGCCCAAACATTCTCTTCTATAGTAGAAAATATTTATTATACATACCTTGTAAATGGCTGACATGGAGGGCTCATTAAAATCATATTGAAAGACAGCTTGTCAAACTCTTCCAGTGAAATACCCTAAGGAATGAACATTTGAAAGAAAAAACACACATAGAATAAAGAGAAAAATACTAAACAATCAGAACTAAGGATATCAGCACAGTGTTTCACAGTTCAGCTTCAGTTATACCAACTTCCCAAAGCAATCTTGTCTGGAAAAACAGTGGCTTCCTTTACACTTTCCTATAGCAGGTCTCAGGTATAAATGCTACTGTTTTTGGACTTGACCAATTAAAACCTTATTTTGTAATTGACCATTTTTGGCAAAGGTCTGGGGAAACTTTTAGCATCTATCTATCAATGTACTTCTCTGTTTCTCAAGTGTGATGTAATGAACAGCCAGGATATTCAGTTTAGTACTTTGTCAGCTTAGCAGAGTAACAGTAATAGGACAAAATTAATTAAAATGGTCCCTAATTAGTTCCATTTACACATGCACATAAAAACACACATGTGTGTACACATAGAGGATAAACAATGAGAAACACATGTCAGGGATTTGCCAATTCTCATTAAGCAGTCTTGGCCAGAGATGTAAAAAGAATAGCCCAGTATCACAAACTCCCTAATTAGAATAACAAATCTCTAACACACTTAAGTGTTTTGATAAAGCAGGAAATTTTATGCTCTGAATTCTGTAAAGAGTGAATTAACCTGGAAACGAACATGTCAGCTATCTCCACTGAATTAAAAATTTGTGACATGCATAAGGCCAAAAAATAGCACATGAATCTTAAGAAGTGCTCATTATTTTCTAATTTTGCTACAAGATAATAAAATGCTCAGAAAAAGACACCAAATTTTATGAAGGCTTTCAGACATAGTTTTCTTCTTTTTAATAATGATCTCATTAAATCAGCAATAGAATCCTTACTTTTGATACTGGTGCATTTCTGAAAGAAAGCCCACCTTGGGCACACTGAGAGCATCCTTCAGATGTGTTTCTGATTTACTTGCTCATGTTTTATTTGTAATAATGGAGTCTGTACTCACAAGTCAATAGCTTTTCTATCTTGTAGCACAGACTTGATAAACAATGAAAACTTATGGTTGGATATTTCTTATCATTTCCTGCCCTGTGAAGGTATTTTGTGAACCAATTACCAATGAGTCATTTATCTAATGTCAGCTTTGAACCCCCTTTTATCCTTTATTAGTATTTTCCTGGTATTTCTCTGTTCACTGTATAAGTACAATATGTTCATTCATTAAGCATTTTTTATAAATCAACTCATTATTATTTCTGAGTACCATTTATATGACAGGTATTGTTGTATACAACAAATAACAAGCTCAATGAAGTGTCTGTTCATAACATTTACACACTAGCCACTAGTAACTTCTCACTTGCTAGTTTTCTAAATTAGCTGAATACTCTGGCTTTATCTACAGCTTTCTGACTAAGGAGTTCCACCGCTGGTTATGAACCTATGTGTAATATCTCAGCCTGATCATGGATGACAACAACAGCTTTTCTGGCAACCTTTCTGGAGAAAGCTTGAGACAGACCCAGTGCACAGCCAAGACTGTATCCCAGTCTCTGAAGGGAGTTGCTGTCAAGGTCTTGCTACCCTGAACAACCACTAGCTACTGTTTTAGTTCCAAAGTGTTCATTTATTATAAATGAATTCATTTATTCGTTTGCTTATCAGAAGTCACCTGCTACTGCCTGCTAGAGAGAGGAGAAGACCTAGAGAATCTCGCAGGACCGTGCACTCTTCCTCTTCTTGGCCTCCCACTCACCCTGTCCTCACACTGTGATCAGGGAGACAGCCTCTACCTTGGTGCTGATCCACAGAGACACAAGATAAATCAGTGTTTTCTCTTAAGTTAGATTCTGGCTGATACTTTATGACCTCACCTGCATATGTTAAAAGAAAAAGTCAAACTCATAGAGGCAAAGAGTAAACTGGTTGAAAAAGAGTGGTTGAAGAATACCAAACCTCAGGTAAGCCACCAGAGTGAGTTTGGGTGATCTATTGGACAGCATGGTGATGTACTTTGTACCCTCCCAGCAGTTTCACACAAAGTAAGAATGCTGGGGGAAGAATATGCCAATTTGCTTGACTTAACCATTTCATAGCATACATATGTGAATACATAAAAGTCATATGTCATATATATATATATATATGTAATTCTTATTTCTTGACTGTACTATAAAATAAAAATAATCCTCTTTTCCCCTTATAAACACACAAATTAACGAACTAACTCTCCTTCAAGTGAGCTAGAAGTGCTTCCCCAACCCTTTTCTTGTATCTAATAATTTTATAGACTGTATATATATTGGTTTATCATTATCTATTAGAGCTAGCAAGGAAATATAATTAAAGTTTGAATCCCTCAAACTTCTATTTATACATATCTGGGCATCTTAATAGATCCAAATATACGTAATTTCTCATTATTTCTCGTAAAGAGTGCATCAGGATATTGAATTGTTGAAAATAAAACATCCAGTGGGTATTATACTGAGAATTTGTTGATTTGAGTTATATTTGGTTACATCTACTTTAAAATATTTATATTAAATTTGTAATGAAAATTTTAATAAAATAACCAGTGGTACCATTTGCTATCTCATGGAAATTATGGAACCTAAATATACCTAAGTCTGTTTGTTGAATCAATTCAGAATTATATATTTTGGGTATCCTTATTCTGAATGTGTTTATACTGCTACCTTCATGATGAGATTTCTATACTGATTCTGGTTGGCCATGGTGCTTATGAATTGTACTTTTATTAGTTATTATCATACCTTGTACTGTAATCAAGGTCAAAAAATCTGTAGCTAGACAGCTTGTGGTTCATAGGTGAGAACCTACTACTATTACTCTGCTAAATTGACATAGTACTAAACTGACATCTGAGAAGCCCCATCAGAGAAGATGGAGGAGTAGATGGAGGTTAACAGAGTGCTATGCTCAGCCTTAAATGAGACTTCTATAAAACACACAGACACACACACATACACACAGACACATACATAGACACTCAGACACAGACACAGACACACACACACACACACACACACACACACACACACAGGTCAGGGATCATCTTAAAAGGGGGGCAGAAAGGTTGAAAGAACCTGGCAGTGAATAACTACAATGAAACTCTGTAAGAATTTAAATTCTAACAATTTAAACTTCATTTAAAAACAAAACAAAGCAAAAAACAACCTCTGAAGCCCTAGAAAGCTGTATTAAATGTAAGGAAGAGCTACTTCTTTTTGTAGATAGTCAACTCCAGTTGGTTCAGGCTACCATTGCTGGGAAGAAATTGAAAAATTAAAGTGGGATCTTACAATTGCCTCATAATAAGTAATTATTTCTAGACAGTGGTGAAAGGAAGCAACTCCCAAACAGAACCAAGTAATCTAACTAAGTGAGGGAGAGACAGAAAGGAGTTCTGGGATGGAGATCAAGATGACTAGAATGTGTCATGGGATGAAGGAAGCAACACATAATCTGCACAGCTGTGCCACTGAGTCTCTAACTATCAGTCTGTGCACACAATAGTCATGACACCATACGATGGAGCAAAGAACATCTGGCAGGGAAAGAACAATTACTGAAGAGATATAATGGTCAGATTTTACACAAGATTAAGAATCACTTAGTACCAAGTAGAGAATCTAGGTATGGCAGTATTTAAACAGAATTAACATTGACTGTATTCAGTGTGTATTAAAAACTACCGCCATCAGTCGGGTGGTGGTGGAGCACACCTTAAATCCTTGAGAGACACAGGCAGGTGGATCTCTGTGAGTTTGAGGCCAGCCTGGTCTACTGAATTGGTTCTAGGACAGCCTCCAAAGCTACAGAGAAACCCTGTTTTGGAAAACAAAACAAACAAACAAACAAAAAACCTACCACCATCAAAGCTGCGTGTTATTGAATAAGAATTGACATAGGCATCCTCCTGAGAAAAGGTCCCGGAAATGCACCCATATATATGTGATTTATTTCTTATAACATGTCAGGGAAACTGACTAAGAGAAGACTACTCTTTAGCAAATGATTGACTTTACATTCACTTAAAGGGAAAAAAGTTTAACCTATTCTGCATTCTGTATGCAAAAAGTAAGTCTGAATAGATCATAGATCCAAATCCTAAAACCAAATCTACAAATCTAGAAAACAAAACAAACAAACAAACAAAAAACAAAAAACCAGAAGATTTTGGAAAATGGAAAGGTTTCACAGAGTACACTAAAAAAAGTCCCATGAAGGAAAATCAAATTCCTATAACTTCTACTCTTTGATGGAAACAACTAAAGAAATAAAAAGACAAGCTATAGATTTAGAGAAAATAATTATTATACACATTCTGAAAAAATAAATTTAATCCAGAAAACATGTGTATCTCATATAAATAGGTAATACAAACTGCACACCTTGCCTGGATGCTACTTTACTGTACATGATCGGATGGCTTTAGAAAAAATTTGTATGTAAATTTGACACAATAAGAAGTTGAGGCCTTATTTTCATAGTAAGAAATATTGGTCTCTGTTGGGTTTTCCTATTCCTTGTGTGGAAAAAACATCTAGGAATGGAATTACTAGGCTATATGACAATGATCTTCAAAGTTATGAGATAAAAAAGTTTGCCACAGTGCTCTAGCACCTTACATTACTTTCATCAATGTCAACGGGAAAACTCAACTATCAGCTGACACTTGCTGCTGCTAGTCTTCCACAGTAGGGTGTGGGCAAAGGCACCTACTTGTTCCCGAGCCTGATGTTCAATCCTCAGAAGCCACATAGTGGAAATAGAGGATCAATACCTGCAAGTTGTCCTCTGACCTACACATACACACACCATTGTATGCACAATTTCTCTTTCTCACACACATGCATGCACACACACAAACACAAACAAACATACAAACAATAGGAAACAATGGGATGTTTATGTTCACATTTTTACTTATTATTTATTTTTATTGAAAATAATTCTTTCATACAGTTTATTCTGGCCATGATTTCCCCTCCCTTATCTCCTCCCAGACCCTCCCGACCTCCCTACCCATCTAATGACATGCCTTCTTTCTCTTTAGAAAACAAAGAGGCCAATAATAAAAGTTAAAAAAGAAATAGAATAAATGGACAAATAAAAAAGAAAAGAAAGAAAAAGCAAAATACACACACACACACACACACACACACACACACACACAATCCGTAAAAACAAAGCATTGTAAGACAAAAATCTCTAAAAATACCATGGAGTTCATTTTGTATTGGCCATCTACTGTTCATAATCTGTTTAAAACAGAGTCCATGGTAGGTGAACTAAATTAACTCTGACAAGTTTGCTAATGAGTATTCTAAAAGTAACAGCCAACGAACTCCTTCCATAGTGTTACCATATGCTGTATGTATTATATAACTAGTAACCAACCGTGAACCATTGAAGTTTACTGTCACCACAGAACCAAGCATCTGGAAGTTAAGTGTGGTCCTGTCAATCTTTTCTTTTCAGAGAACAAAATCTTGACCACTCTCTTGAAGTGAGATTTTTACATAATTTACTCTTTTACTTAGACTTTAAAACATTCATTCTTCTCCTAAACTTTCATTTGCATGATTTATTTTCCAAGTAAGCCACCAGAAACCAGTATTTAGGAATTGTTAGAAATATGCATTTCACTGCTATTATATATATTAAAATAATAATACTTACTCACTTCAATTGTCTTTGCTAGCAAGTGTGTGTGAGGAAAATTATGCTTGTACACTTCATTAGCGACAGTGTTCACATCAATAGCAGCCACCACGTGTGCAGGGACACAACTCTCTGAAATGACAAATGGAATATCATCAGCCCATCAGAAAGGAGAGCTGAAACTGCAGGGTCCAGAAGCACACTGACATTCTCTCTCTCTACCCAGCTTGATCTCAGACCACAGTAAAGAACCAGCCAGGCAAGAGTGCAGGCAGGAAGTGGGGGCTTCCTATCTCCAGGTCACTCTGGCAGCAGGCTGAGTGCTGAGAATGAGACTTCAACTCTCTCACATTGTCCCAGATGATAGCTTTCCTTTCTCATTAAGCCACATGTTTATGCCAAACACAGCTTTCATAGTTAAAGAAAAAACAGGAACATATAATACACTCTAGAAACCCTATTATTTAGAACTTTATATAAATAAATGATGTCTTCTTAACCTCCCATATTAAGAAAAAGCTGATTCATGATACCTCTGAAATTGCTTTTAATATGTTTATTTTGTAATAATAGCTTCACTGAGATATAACTTACAACAGAACCGCCTGCTTAGAGTTTTAAATGATGTCAGTTCATTGGTGTCTAATGTAAAAGGATCAGAGCCTAAAACTGTATGTCATTGACAGAGCATAAGAGACTGACTGAGGAAGTCTCTCAGCCTAAATACACAGAGGAGAGCTAGGTCCTGCCCCAAATGATGTGACAGACTTTGATGATCTCCCCTGGAAGACCTCATCCTCCCCAAGATTGTATGGGGGTGGGATGGGAAGATGGGGGAGGAATGGGAGGATGGGAGGATGGGAAGGAGAGAGAACTGGGATTGGTATATAAAATACAATTATTTGTAATGTAAATAACAATTAATTAAAAAAAAGACTGGAGAGGAGGGGACACTCATATTAAGGTACGCCTTGCTGCTGAGGAAATACATTCTCAACACAGCTTTGGATTCAGAGAATATGAACATATTTTTGGTTGTAACTAAAAGTTTGAACTTTGTAAGGGTGGCTGTTGTTAACAGGGTGGCTACCACCCTGTTTTCTCAAACCATGTACAAAATCAATTATGCATAGACCTTGTTCTAAATCAGTAGAAAACATGGGACTTGTAAACATTGAAGCACCTGAAATTAGGAAAACCATTGGTTAACACAATGAGATTACCAGTAGATCCAACAGCTCTTTTTAGTAGCCATTTGTTAACTAACAGTCATCAGCTTTACTTGGTTCAGACAATTAAATAGAAGGAAAATCAGGGTCAAAGGAGCTAGAACTCACAAAGCAAGTTCCTGCACAGAACGCAGAACAAAAGGTAGAGAAAGACCTCCATGTTCAGAAAGCCACTGCAGCCTTACACTGAAACCTAGAAAAGACAAGCTCGAGAGGAAACAGGGGCATAAACATCTCCAAGTAAATATTGTGTCTGGTAGGCCCAAATCACTTAGCTATCCTGCAGGTACTTCCTTTCTGTGGAAAAGGACAGTCCTCTGTGCCTTATACACAGGCACTACACTTCTTAACCACAGGTGGCTGTCTCTGGCTGACTTTAAATTTAATAGCTAGTTTCTTGATTTAGGATATATTTGAGGCTATAAATTATATCCTTGTTAAAAAACACAAATGACTTCAAAACCTAAAGCAAAAAGGTTCCTAAGCCAAAAGGTATACAAAGATTAATTTTAAAAATCATGATACTTACTAGTTCTAAACACTAACCACTACAAGAACTCAGAACCCAACTTTCCTAAATAAAATAGATTACAATCTTCATGGTGCAGCAGATCTCCACCGAAGCAGGCATGATGGCCTGGGGGATGGTTAGCAGGACTTTCATCTCTTTTCAGGGTGACTGAAAATCTAATCATGTGCTGAATCTATATCATAGTCAATAAGTAATTTTATGTTCTTGTGTTATATGCCCAGGGGACATAAAGCCTGACAAAAAGCAATTGCCAAATGAGTGTTTCATGTGATGATCCAAAACCTGATGAACTGAAAAGTGATTCTCAGAAAAGAGTGGAGATTTAAAGTCAATAAGCAAATGCACTGCTCTTGTGGCCTGGTGCACACATTTTACATTGTTAAAAATTAGAACCTACTGCACTAAAAAGTATTTCTATCAGGAAAAAACAAACAGAGAGAGAGAGAGAGAGAGAGAGAGAGAGAGAGAGAGAGAGAGAGAGAGTGAGTCTGAAAACCAGGCATGTTTCAGATTTTGAAATATGTACATATACATAGCAAGATAGCTTGAGGGTAGGACCAAGTATAAACACAAAATTTGTTTCCTATATACCTACATAACTTGCAAGAAATTTTAATTTAAAATTTTTTACTTATTTGTTTGTTCATTTATTTACTATGTTTGTAAGCCTTTACTCATTCAGCCACTGCTAAACCATTTCAATGGTCATAATTTTATATAAAATTGGTTTATGAACATTTTATTTACTCCAACTAATTATATTCGATAGAGTGGAATTTTCCACTTGAAGAGTCAAGTTGACTGTTAAAAAGTATTTGATCTTGGAGCATGTCACAGTTTACTGTTTAGATTGAGATGTTCATCCTGTACTAAGATATTACTACAGCTAACTTCAACTTGATTTAAAAACAATTGTTTAGGTATGTTTAGGTATTTAAAATATATTTAGGTATGCCTCTTAGGAGAAATTAAACTCTATACAACAATAGAAAAAGCAAGCTGATCAGTTTTGGCAACATCTTAAACTGGACTTTAAAGAAAGCCGTCTTAATATTCTCTAATAAAAATGTTTCAAATCCAAAAGCCTTTCAGCAGCAGAGACAAGTTCTGAAACTTCAAAATTGAAAATGTAGAAGTGGAATTGTGCCATGGGAGCTCTCTCACTTGAGACCCATGAGTAATTCTCAAAGAAGCTAGAACTGGGAAAGGAACCCTGCAGGGTTCTGGAAGCTGGGGGGAGTATTGGGGGGCAGGGGTAAGGATGGGTGGATGGGTGGGGGGAGGTGTTGGTGCTTTCTGGCCTTTGATCCAATGTTGTGCATGGGTTTTATACATGACATTTCAGTTAATCTTCTGGATTTCATATTTTTTTTTTTTTTTTTTGGTGAGACATTTTTGTAAGAGAAACACAATGCACACCGTTGATGGTCTATATGGGAATGACAAGAATATTATGTTCCCATTTCTGAAGACTGAAGTTTTGAGTGGCAATAGTCTCCTTCTTTTCTGATTGAGGATTCTGGAGAAGCTTTAGGGAAGAATTTAGCTGAAAGCAAAAGCTGCAAATCATTCTATGACTGGCCTAATAGATAAACTGTTCATGAATAGTTAATATGTGGGAGAAATACCAATAGTTTCTAAATTAAAATGTAGAATTAAGCAGTTCACGATGAAATAGATACTTCTTCAGAACTTTTGTTTTTCTTTATCATCTACCTTTTGACCTGGCCCAGATAAACATTGGGTAAATGTTTGAATGATCTCAAACTCACACCTGAGACATTTAATCAGGTAGGTATGTTAACACTGACCTCTAGTTGTGAAATGGTAGATCGGATGAGTGTATTCCAAGGTCTATTCTTTTATTCAAAGTGACAGCTTAACTGGGAATAAGAACAGTAGGTATAAATGGACCTGTAAAGACTCTTAATTTAAAATATTTGTCAACTGGGGTCATTGAGACAGTTGCAATGGCATCACTGCTGTCTGAGCCTGACACTTGATCCCATGGACCACATAGTGGAGAGAATGAACACCCCCACACAAACGAACATGTAGCACATACCTCCCAAAATATATACATACATACAAAACACATAAAAACACCTTCAAATGTTTTTACTTGGCTTTTCTTGAAAGTTGTTTACATATCTAGACTCTAGACACTGCTAAGAAATTATTTCAACACAAAATGGAAATTAAGCCCCACCCCTGCCATACACACACACACACACACACACACACACACACACACACACACACACACACACACACAGTTTCTTCTGAAAACCTTATAAGTTTAGCTAACTGACAACCATGTTTACTCTGGGTCAAGGCCCTCCATAGAGTACTTCTGCCAACACCCCACTGGCTACACCATGCAGGAATATGCTGAAATATGTGGCTGAAATCTAATTATGTCCTTAGCACTGCATTTTAGAACTTAAACATTATTTTTCAATAAAATAAAGAAAGACAGAGTATCTGAAGAATTGACATGGGAGATGGCAAGTTACTGTTAAAAAGGAACACACAAGGGTGCTTCCAGGCATAATAACTAAAGATGTCACATTAGAAAGTACAACACAGTTCAAAAGAGCAGGGATGAATTCTGAGGGGAACTTCAGAAAGGAAATTGAGGCACAAAAATTATTTTCCTGGAAGTGTTTGGGAAAGCTCAATTAATGCAGTGTTCCTGTGAGGAAGCAGCCACTACAGCCCCCCTCCCATGCCCACACTGTTCCTCAGAAGATCAACAGAGAAAGGTCACTCAAGGGTCTGATTTATCCAGGCTATAGAGTGTGACACAGCACCAACACCACCCTTAGTCCTCAGATATAATCCCAGAGGATAAGGAGTCTTGATTTCCCAGGGCAGACATTGCCCCTAAAAATTTTGTTTCTAAATATAGATAGCTAAAATTAAGAATTGACCAAAGACACTAAAACAGTTTCTCCACCCAATGGGACTCTATGGTGGATGACAACAGTGACATTCCATATTTGCATGGTCTGATATGATACACATATGGGTAGGTATTAAGCAGTTAGCCTGAGACCAGCACAATTAAGGAACTAAATTTCTCTCTAATGTCATCTTAATTTAAATGTAAACAGCTGCATTTTGGCTGATGACATCCATACTGAGCTTATAATCACCAGGCTCATCAAGAGAAATCCTGGCAAGCAGTCAGCACTGTACAGTGGGCAAACAGAGGAAGAGGAATCCATATTGAAATTCTCCCAAGCTACACAGTGTTGGGAAATAAATGTACTAATCCTCTAAACTTCAATTTCCTCGTTAATGAAATGGATATTTAAAACAGTTCCCATAACAGGCTCCTATTAAAAATAAATGAAACAGAGTCAATA